GTATGTCGGAAGTTTACTTGCACAGGACAGTACTTGAGTTTCCACGGCTTTTGTCCAGTGAAATATAATAGAGGCTTAGTAAGATGCCTGTTCAATTGAATCCAACGTATTAGTACATCTGATACAATGGATGATAAGAAAAAATTTCTGAAAGATACACTAATGGAAAACAGATGTCCGTTACAGTTTGTCAACCGCTGTAGAAAAAAGCTGACCCCATAGCCTATAACTCCTCGATCCCGAAGAACGACACATTTCTTAAAGTACCACACAGAGTGGAAACAAGTAGTATGGTATTGAAGCAAAGGTTGAAATCTGTTATTAGTAAAGCATACTATGCAGCTCAGTTTATCATTGGTGAGACAACAAAACACCTGCTTCACCACAAACTTCAACCTCGCATGAATGATTCTGTCACATCCCAATGTGTTTTTAATGGTCTACACGTATGTGTGGGAACACATATAAGGAGGGATAATCTTTCAGTGCAGACTAGAATGGGTGAATACACACTTAAATGGCTTAAAAAGCAGTTTAACACACAAACATTGATAAGTTCGGGTGACAGACACCCATTGTCACTTATAGCAAAACATATCATTGAAATGAATCACAAGGTAAATACGAAAACAACCCTCAAGATATTATACAGGAATAACCAGAGACGCATACTGCAGTTTGCCGAAGCGTTAGCCGTCCGTAAACTTAAGTCCCAGCTGTGCGCACGAAAAACAATTTGTTGTTTCACTTAATTTACCTTGGTAATCTTTATCCTATTATATTACCAAGACTAATGTTACAACCTTTTCATATTAATTACACTTGACCTTTCATTTTCATATATATTGCCTTGACAAGTAAATGTGTGATCAGACTGTTCGAAATGCATTGCTCAAATATATATCACATTTTTCACACAACATTTGTTTTCTAATAGCGTCATCGAAATTTTAAGTTACTCACTAAAATGGTTCCAGTGGAAGTGTAGTCAATGTTGATTTTCATTTGCCTTGCAATTAAATAGTAACTTTGGTTAAGAGTAAAAGGGAAACCAACTAAAAAATATCCCCTTTTGTGTCTTTATTTGGGTGTTAAATCTTAAATGTAACAAATAAAATCCTCGCTGACCTCAAAATACATTAGCGGCATGCTTCGAGATAGATATCGCAGATTTAGAGTGAAAAGCCGTCACCTATGGGGTCAACTACTCAGAAGTGAAGTAAATGGCAACTGAAGACCTTGGATGATAATCACTCTATATCATGAACTGACAGAAGCAGGAAACTGCGGACCACTGAATTCCGACCCAATTGCCGAATGGGTAATGTGATCACAGTGAAACCTAAAGATCCTGAGTTCGATCCGTAGCCGGACCGCAGGTGCATACTGCTGAAGATTTCAATGCGGGGACGAAATATATGCCAGTGCTCCCACATTTTCAACAGTCCTCCGACTGATGACACTGCATGATGAATACTACCTTACAGATTTTAATCCTTATGTTTTAATCCCTTTTGTCTCACGTGAATAGAATTTTAAACATGATAAGGTCATCGGATTATAATTCCGACCATATCAGTTAAGTGAGATGGAAGTTGGCATTAGTGTTGTATTTATCTCAAAAATAGTTATTTCTTTTCCTTAACAAGAGAGAACAACCGACAGCCAAAGCAGCTTAAAATATAAACACAGAAGATAGACTGTTTACGGTGAGTCAAACTTTTTGTATATCGTTTCTGTCTCCTGAAGCGAAGCATATGCGATTAGATATAATACCGCCGAACGCTTTTCAAAAGTCGTCAGGTAGTTAGAGGTCAATATGCTGCCTTCAAATTATGTTTTTGAGCATTTAGTCATACGAGAGTTAACAGGTCTCATATTTTTAACCCAAATGCTACGTTAACCTGACCACCTGAAGGTTTCTTAGACAGACAGTAAACCAAAAAACATTCGCTTACAAAGCTATAATGGCTCAAATTGCAACACAATAAGAAAACAACGCTAGTAAAAGAATATACAAATGAAAGGGGAGGCTAGGAGTTCAGAGGAGAATTAACAAGTATATAGTGGTATGATGGCTCTAGAAACTGTAGAGATAGTCCTGGATAAATAAACTAAAACTGAGACGAAAATACAAAATAACTTTCCTCTTCTTTTGTTTGCACAAACTAAAACTTAGGATAAAATAAAATTCACTCAAGAAAGTTGGGCGGAAATGTGTGACCTACCGACGGCTAAACCTAACAAGCATACACTTTAGGCTCACTAAAAAATAATGATGTAAATATAAAAAAATGCTTTAGTTGTTCATCCGTTAAATAAAAACATTTAATTTGTTAAATTTAGACTTTCTCTTCGGTATTACATGCTGACCTACTAAGCAACAAACTCCACCCAAAATACTGAATGGATAGCTTTTCTATTGTCGGCGTCAGTACATAAGCACTGCTTCAATAAAGCATGTGAAGGTTCACATGACAGAAGACTAATAAGGCAGTACCAAAGAACTGAGAATAAAAGCATGCACGAAGAGTTGTTATGATAGCCTCTTACCTTTCTAAAGCTCTATCTCCACTCAGTCCATTAGTAGCTGCCTTTGTAAAAAAAATGACAAAGAATGTGCTGGGATCAATTCCTTATAAAGGAGAATTCTGAAGCTCTTTACATAAAATCTCAAACTAGGGAAGCATCCAAAGTATCAGAACAAACTTTCATGTGAAGTGGCACTAATCATTATTCATCGTAATAGCTCTAGTGTGTGATAGCGATCAAAGTTATGATTTCCATAATGATTGCACAAATTTACATGCCTGAATAGAGGTTATTACTACAGTACATTTAGTTACTTTCTACTGCTAATTACTGCAACATGAAACAAATCTTTTTTTGCTGGCATGTACAATTTTCTTCAACATTTAATTAAAATCAGTACCAGGTGGTTTTGAAACATATACGTTTGGCAAATAATTAACCATGGACACCTTTTATAGGAATTATTAAAGTCTAAAAAAACTAAATAAAAGATAAGCCAATCCCTCTTAGTTTTGAGACAAGAAAATCTGATTATACCTAATAACTGAAACCTAGTCAGATACCTAGTGAATCACTTGTTGGTTTCTACATATTTTCAAATTGCTTGGTGTACTTGACGCTGCTAGTGAAGTGGCTTTTATATGGAAGTGACTCAGTGAGCAGTTTAGCCTTAACAGTATAATCATTTCAATACTTCTGTCATTTGGAAGGTTTATTTTTATGAACAACAAAACAATGTGTTACATTTTTTCAACAGTCGACAAAATAAGCTCTATACATGTAATGTTATCATACCGGGTAGCTATGAGGTAGGAATATTAAATGGTAATTTTATGGGATCCCATACAAATTACTACGATATTCATAGCGAAAACATAACTGCTACACCACACCTGTTTTGCCCTTATTTTGGGAGGTTAGAAATCACTATCTCGCACACTGAAGTACCGAACAAACCCCTAATGAAAACTGGTAACCACTAAATCAAAGCACTTGCATTAGATTTCATCACAACTTCCCAAAATATATAGGAAAAAATTATGTTTCTTTTCAAAAGTTCCCAAATGATCAACTAATGTTTCTGAAATTATTATCTTAAGTATATCATCAAGTGCTTTATACCTTGCCCTAATAGATAATTAAACAAAATTTAGCATTGCAGGTGTTTGCACCAAGTGGGATGTGGCCATCAGAAACTGAATCTTTGTGTGACTATCAGTATCATACAGGGAACTAAAATGAAGTTCTAGCAGGCGTTAACAGATTTCAAGTCAGCATACGTCTTGTGCAGTACGGGTTTGATTCCACAATACCTGACTTATCACCAACCGTTTTTTTTCTGTGGAGTTTGTCGCAAGGTAGACAATCATCACTAAAACAAAGAACCGTGGAAAAATTTATGTATCTTGATGTTCACTTCTCGTATCTAGTTGTGAATCAGCGTGATTCTCGACCGGAGCAAACAGATTCAATATTCTTCAAAAATACTTCAAAAGTTAAGTTGGATCTTTTTATCAATGCGAATTAGAGGTATCATCATAGCCTGCTTGGTCGGCAAGGCTTATTCTGAAGCTTTCAACAAGCGTCTGAGAAGTGTCCAGATTGTTGTTGTCTTATACTGTAGAATTATCAAGGTGGAGCAGGGAAAAATCTGCAACAAAATGCGGGGTATTCACAAGTAAAGATGAATTAATTGTATGAATACTGATTATTCACTTGAGGCATTTTAATGCGCAAAAAATAAAAAGGACAAATTAAGATGAAGTGTAGAAATCAGCTCACTATGATGCCTTTCGTGGTTTAAACCAGCTAGCGAATGACATTCGTGAACTTACGACATTTTTAGACCACCAAATCAACTGGATGCCAAAGCAGAAACAGTGACTGAGGTAGACACCCCAAGATATTAATATGACCATTTGAAAGATAAATGGACGTCCCACTCTTCAGGTAATCAGTGATTTCAAATTATTCGAATCAAACATTTGCCGTGTGCATGGCGGCCATGTAGTTGAGACTGAGTCTCGAGATTTTAAGCTAAACGTGATGCAGGGTTTGACTATTACAGAAATTTATTTCATGAACACTAGCGTGATATCTTACCGATTAACGAACTCAACTACTTAAGCTGTCAATTCCTCGATCATACACGTCAACAAAACAAAAGGAATCATTTTATGTGATACTTGTCCTCCGAATAAACCAAACACTTTCATATGATGCCACATCATATAAGTTCTAATCCCATGAAAAAGTTATCTAAGAAACATTCTGAAAAGATTCACCGAGTTATTAGAAGTTTTGTCTGATTAACAAAAGCAGCATGCAGCTCAGTAGTTTCAGAAAGTCACAAAATAACCTCAGAAACTCATTTATAAACACTTCTAAGCTGCTAAGTATTAAAATTACAAGATGATTTACTGCAATAATCTGATTGAGTGACCAAATTTACAGCATTTTTAACGTACCCAGGTATGTGACCACCCTCTTCCAAGTTGGTAAAGGCCTGACGTTGCTCAAGCGTAGGCCCTCCACCATACTCGATTGAAGTCATGATAAACAGAATTTCAAATAACCACGATACCTGTTTCCATGTCAATATATACCTTACCCCTTTTACGTGAGTAAAACAAAGATCAGATTATTTCAGGCAAAGTGTGAACATTTGTAAAATTCCCTCACAGCCTCCTCGAAGTGCTCAAAAAATTGCAATGCAAGTAACATTTCCTTAATTTTCAGCAATGAAGTGAACATAAAGACTAAACAAATACATTTTCCTTTTAATTGTGCTTCTTGAAAGTGATCTGCGTTCTCAAAGAGATCATATGACTGCTTTCTTCTGTGTGCATAGTTACTGCCTTAAAGCAAATGCATTTAACCGACAAAGCCGTGAAAGACACAGTAAGGTGAAAGGTATCTATTTAAGGAATTTCCTGGAGCGAAATTCAGACTCAGTTTCAGATTTGTTATTTGAGGATAGGAGGCTGGGAGCCTATATTAATCCTTTTCCAGTAGGTTTCTGTGCTTGTAAAATCCTTTTTTGAAAGAGTTAACTGATGATGCGGAAACCACTTCTTCTGGAAGTCGGTTCCAGACGTTGATTACTCGACGCGACAACCACTACTCTGCGGATATTGTTCCTTCCTTGCTTGCTTTTGTAGTCTCCTACTGTGTCCTCCGAGGTGTTCCGACCTGGTGGGAAGGAAAAGAGAGGGTGGGTCAGGTCCAAAGTCATTTCATAGAATCCTGTATAGCATGATTAGGTCTCCCCTCTGTCTGTGGCTGGACAAAGTGAAGAGGTTCAGCTCCTTAAGTTGGTATTCATAGGTGAGGCCGGCCATCGCAGGGATCATACGAGTAGCTGCCCTCTGAACTCCTTCTAGAGGGTCTGCGTCACCTTGCAGACAAGGATTGGCCGTCTGTGTACAGTTTTCTAACTTGGACCTAACTAAGGATGTGTACAAGATGGTGAACATGTTACCACTTATTTTCGTAAACGTTCTGCGTAATGTAATTCCATATAAGTTTTGTTTATTTGATATGTGACGCACAGTGATACAGTATTATTTGCTTGATTACATTTCGAGCACTTCACTCTCTACCGACTTCCATTTGGAGAGTTGGGAACTGATCCAAACTCTTTGTCTCCTACCGACAAGAAAATCTCTTATCCATGCGAGCAGACTGCTAGCGATCCCAAAACTTCTCATTTCTCCGAGCGACTTGTAGTGAGCTACTTTGTCGAGTGCCTTACCAAAGTCTATGAAAATGACATCTACCGGTATCCTGTCATCTTTGGACTTAACCCAACTTTCTCCGGCTGTAAGAAGGTTCATCAAGCAAGAGAAATTTCTGCGAAAAAGGTGCTGGGAACGAGACAATAGAGTGTTGCTCTCTAGGTGGACTATGATGGCTTTCTTGATTAGCCTTTCCAGGATTTTCACTACAGTACTAGTCAAACTTACCGGTCTGTAAGTTGATGGGAGCTGCCTGCCCCGTATGCCTTCACTGATAGATAGGCTGAACACAGTAGACAATGAGCCGGTTACTTAGAGTGCAAGCTCTGTGAGCAACCTTGGGTGCAGCCCATCCAGTCCCGTTGATTTTTTCACATTCAGAGTACTTAATGTCCGAAATACATCATCACGATCGACACTTACGGAGTTTTTTCTGCTGGATGTCAATGCTTCTACTGTTGGGTAACTGTCCACAGAGGATTCCTGCGTGAAGACTTCAGCAAAATATCCAGTATGGCCTCTGCCTTTTCCCGATGGTCCTCAGTCAAGCAGCCATTTTCTGTCCCATTGATTGGGGTGGGTGTACCACGACGCGCCTTATTTCTGTTTTTCATGTAGGAAAACAACCTCTTCGGATGTTGCAATGCAGCCTGGCCAAGGCGTGTTTCAAAGCAAATTCGAGACCGGTGGGTAGCAGGGATAAATTTCTTTCGGGCTTCTTTGTAATGCTTCAACACTTCTGGTGTATGTTGCAGCAAGATTCGAATTTCGTGGTTTATCCACGGACGACGTTGTTTCTGTCCCCTCGAGACAGTCCACGGAATGAACGGTTGGGTCACCCGTGCATATAACTGTTTGAAGGAGCACCAAGCACCTTCAACTGAGGCTTCTGGATTGACCATCCATTCCTCCAAAGAGGCTATCAGGTTAATAGCTTTCCATATTCGCTTCCCATATGTTGGGTCTAGCTGGGGCATCTGCCTGGTACAAGACGTCTGCTGTGAATCTGAAGATGATCACAGCGTGATCACTTTTGCCAACCGGTGCTAGGTGCCGGATGAAGCACACATCATCTGTGTGTGAGAATACTAAGTCCATAACTGATGGAGCATGCTGATGATCATATCTGGTTGGTGTCTTAGTGTGCTGTGTGGGGGCTAAGGATATTGGTGTTTCCACTAACCGGTGGCCAAACAAATTACGTGGTGCCTTTGTTGTAAGCCTGCCCCGGCCAACTGATGGTGTGTTGGAATCTCCTACAACTAGACATCGGCATTTATCTGTCCGTGGGGTCAGCTTATTCGGGAGGAAGTCTGCTGCATCACATTCAGGGCTTCAATATATCACGATTACTTCAACATCTTGCCCCTTGCATTTTAGTCGACAGCGCAGCATTTTACAAGTCCCACTTTCATGTGTAACTGTTTCTACGGCTTTTAGAGTTAAGTTACTCTTAAAGTAAAGGATGACACCGCAACCTTTGCATGCTAACCTATAACTTCTAAAACGGGTGAATCCTCCTAAGTATGTTTCATAGTCACTGACTTAGGGAGAGAACCAAGTTTCTGAGATAGCAATGGTATCAGAGCTTTCGTTGCTTATCGCGCTACTAAGCTCAGTCCACTTGTCCAAAAGACTATGCGCACTTGTGTACAAGACAGCGAAACTACTTAAATGAACTTCCGTCCTATCTATAGGGGCTTCGGGATCCTCTGTTGCCGAAACCTCACTACACGAAAACCCACCGCTTTCAGAACTTGCTGTCAACTGCTAATCTAGATTTTAGTTCTGTTTCTGCCCCTCATTTTTTGCTTCGATTGGCAAGAGCCAGATCCTTTCTCACGAACACTCCAGATCCTTGAAGCCTGTGAGCATTCTTCAGAATCTGACTCCTCTCATCCGCTGACTTGAACACGGCTTTAAATTATTATTATTTTATTATTAGTCCCTTGGGTTCCTAGTGGAACATAGGGCTTCAGTAGCACGTCTCCAGTGACCTCTGTTCTCTGAAATCTTTTGAACCTGGCTCCACGACAGCCCAGAAGCTCTCATTTCTTCCTCGCACGACCTCCTCCATGTCGCCCTCGGACGTCTAACTCGTCGCTTCCCATGGGGATCCCACTCGAGGGCCTGACGCGTGATGTCCTCAGCAGTACAACGTACGAAGTCAGACACTTCCTGCGCTGCTGTACCTCTTGTATGCTGAGGGTGTGAGGCTTGTACATTTATCGTGGGACCAACTCTTACATTCCCTACACTGCATACCAGGGGCCACCGTAAAGTGGCATCCGGCCCTACCACAAGCATGTTTACGACACCTTTGGCTCACCATGAAGCAAAAATTTGAATAATATTCCGACTAGAGCAAAAATAAAACAGCCTTTGATGTGTAAACACAAAAATGACAAGAATCTAGCTGAATGTTAAAAGTCAGACAGACGCAGAGGCTAACCACTAGTTATTCCTACTTGTTATATACCCACGAATGCGAGACCAAGGATGAGTACAGTAGAGTAGTCGGACGGAATAGTGTATTTGCGAGGTCGTGCCAAGGTACCAATGCTTTCCAACCAACTGGTTGGAGGTTCGATGATGACAAGTGCAACGTAACGCGACAGCGTGTCAAATGGTGCGGATACTTGATTGTGTGCCTTCAGCTTATTGAGGCCGATAAAACTATGAAGGTCGGCGTTGCTGTTGAATTGCGTTGAACCCTAGGCTATTGATCCTGGAGAATTATGTGATGCTAAAAATGCGAAAACCTCAAGAAAAGCTCAACTATTTGGATTTCTTCATGGTTATTTCGCACAGGAGAGCGCTCCAAAGCCCCTCGTGAGGAATCTGATTCCAGCGAGATCCCCGCAAGCTTGCCAGATGAGCTCAAGCAACCTCCGGAATGGTTCTGTGACCCGGGGTTTGGGGGCATAAGTTCTTCAGGTCACTCGAACGAGATTTGTCTCTTTTTGGAAAGGGATACCACAATTGCCGGGAGGTGAGAAGTTAGCTAATATGGGGTTTTCGGTGTTACTGTTTCAGTGATAGCTCCAACGTATAATTTGTCGTTCTCAAAGTACATGAAAGTTGAGCTTCTGGTGTGATTGGATGCGGAATGGCCTTCATCGTCGCACATTTTTCAAGCACGATCCCCTGTCTTTGAGCTATGGTATGTTAATGAACGAATTAAACTCAACTACTTTCTCATATTATGTGATTTCAGTGTGCTTACAATAAACTGGATCGACATCAGCCGGATAGCAGCGACCAATTCACTCTACAGTGGGCTACTCGTATCTCTTATGCCTCGTGTTGTGGCCCTGCAGTCCCACCACGTCATGCATCCTGACGTAGGTCCCGGGGTCTTCCTTCCTAAATCCCCGAGGGGCTCATGGGTCATAGCACCCATACTACTACAATGCTGTCCCTGCACAGTACGGGTTGACGATACTTAGATAGCGACAGTCAATCTAGGCTCGTGCTTCAAATGGGGGATTGTATAATTCAAACTCTCAACAAGGTGTACTATCCGGGTGTGCAACATTCCCGCAACCATATACCTGCTGTAAACTTTCTAGCCACCATAGCCAGATCTAGATGACTAAGAGTTGTCATTCCAGGAGCTTCTGCACAAATGGTCCAAACACACTCTTTCTAAAGTTCGTGTTAAATCACATTTGCAATGTATCCCGTTAATTTTTCCTAGCGAGGACACCGTTGAAAAATTATTGGAAGAAGCGTGAGGACGCTTGACTGAAGGATTAGTGGATAACTTTGCCAATCTAGGCTGCCCGACTAGGTGCACTACACTATCCATTTAATC